CTTTGACTTTAGAGCACGACCTACACCGGTTATCGGTGATACTCTCAAGAATACATGGTCTCCCTCTTGAAAATCAAGATCCTTCCTCCTCTTATCATGGTAACTCTTCTTCCTAATTTGCGAAGCTTTCATCCTTTATTTGATTACCTTCACTTTCTCCATAGTCTCTTTCACCATCTCAGGTCCGAGCACCACATGCTCACCCGATTCATAGCAACACAAAGGTGTTCTGCACCTCCGACTATACAGTGCTTCGAAAGGTGCCATACCAATACTAGCATGGTAAATATTGTTGTATGTGAACTCAATCAAAGAAACACAACTATCCAAGGTACCTCCTTGCTCAAGAATACAAGCCCTCAACAAATCTTCTAACGACTGAATAGTCCTTTCCGTCTGACTATCTATCCGTGGATGATATGCCGAACTCAATTTCAGCTTTGTCCCCAAAGCGTCATGCAAACTCTTCCAAAAAGCAGAGGTAAACCTCATATCTCTATCCGACACAATGCTAGAAGGAAGACCGTGTAGCTTCACAATTACCCGAATATAAATCTCTGCCAACTTCGATACAGGAAAATCGATACTAGTCGGAATGAAATGAGCTGATTTCATTAATCTATCAATAATCACCCAAATCGCATCCTGCCCTCTTGGAGTACTTGGCAGCCCCATCACAAAGTCCATAGATATACTATCCCATTTACATTTCGGAATGTATAAAGGTTCCAATAGCTCTGTAGGTTTCTGATATTTGACTTTCAATTTCTGACAAGTCAAACACGCATACACAAACTGTGCCACATCTCGCTTCAACCCGAACCACCAAAATAACTTCTTTAAGTCGTGATACATCTTGATAGCTCTCAGATGAATACTCAAATTGCTTCTATGGCCCTCTTCCAGAATCATCTTCTTCATATCAGCATCATCAGGGATACACATCCTGTTTCGGAATCACAACACACCTTACGCATCTAGTTTAAAGTCATTGTCTTCAGATTTATTACTCTCGACCATCAAATCCACTAACTTCACATCTAACTTTTGAGCTTCTTTAATATTGTCTAAGAAGTCATTGTTAATCTTCAACATCTCCACCATCACACTCTGCGGTGTCATTTCACAGACCAAACTCATGTCTCTGAATTGTTCGATCAACTCTAGTTCTCTAACCATCATAGAAGACATATGCAAGGTATTTCGACTCAAGGTGTCAACTACAACATTAGCTTTACCTGGATGATAATTCAAGCCAAAGTCGTAATACTTCAATTGTTCCAACCATCTCCGCTGCCTCATGTTTAATTGCTTCTGATCAAATAAATACCGCAAGCTCTTATGATCGCTAAACACTTCAAACCTAGAACTATAGAGATAATTTCTCCAAATCTTCAGCACAAAAACTACTGCAACTAATTCTAGATCATTGGTAGGATAGTTTCTTTCATGAATCCTCAATTGCCTCAACGCATAAGCGACTACTTTATCATTCTGCATGAGTACACCACCTAAACCCAATTTAGAAGCATCACAATATACAACAAACGGCTCTTCAGGATTAGGTAATATCAAAATTGGAGCCGTCGTTAATCTCTTCTTTAACTCAACAAAACTCTCTTTACATTGGACGTCCCACACAAATGCTCTACCTTTACAAGTTAGATGATTTAACGGAAGTGCCAACTTAGAAAAACCTTCAATAAATATTCTATAATAGTCAGCCAAACCCAAAAAGCTTCTAATCTCCGTGACTGATTTTGGAGATTCCCACTGTAGCAATGCATCTACTTTAGATGGATCTACAATAATACCATCACCTGAAATAACATGACCAAGAAAACTGACTTCTGTCAATTAGAACTCACATTTCGACAACTTTTCATATAACTTCTTCTCTGTCAATACTTGCAATACAATTCGCAAATGTTCCGCATGTTCTCCTTCGGACTTAGAATAAATGAAAATATCATCGATGAATACTACAACAAATCGATCCAAATAAGTGTTAAATATGCGGTTCATATATTCCATAATCACTCCCGGCGCATTAGTAACACCGAAAGGCATCACAGAATACCCGTAATGTCCATACCGAGTTCTGAAGGCTGTTTTCTGAATGTCCTCATCTTTCACTCGAATTTGGTGATAACCCGATCTCAGATCAATCTTGCTAAATACACGCACACCCACCAATTGATCCATCAAGTCGTCTATTCTCGGAAGTGGATACCTATTTTTGACTGTCAATTTATTCAACTGTCGATAATCCATGCATAACCTCATACTACCATCTTTCTTCTTCACAAGTAATACCGGAGCTCCCCAAGGCGACACACTTGGTCTCACAAACTTCTTTTCAAGTAACTCTTCTAATTACTTCTTCAATTCTGATAATTCAGACACCGACATCCGGTATGGTGCCATAGAAATAGGTTTGGTGCCAGGTACAAGATCAATTGAAAATTCTACTTCTCTTTCTGGCGGCACAACCTAAATATCATCAGGAAAAACATCGGGAAAGTCGTACACAACATGCAACTAATCAAAACATACGATTATACAACCTAAATTCTATCACACCCCATCATTAGGAAAACCCTTATAGAGTTATAATCCCCTTACCTTAGGTTATCGCGGTTCTTGATTCCTATGGATGAAACTTCTTGCCCTAGCTTCCTAGTGCTCTTTCTCATCTTCTCTCTTCTACGCTTCTCTTTCTCTGTTTCTACGTACTGACTCTTTTCCCTTATTCATACTCTAATATATCCCAATAATAATATAACCTTAGTCTTCCCAATTAAATAATTATTTAATTATTATTATAAAATAATAATAATTATCCTAATATAATAATAATAATAATAATCTATATTATTCTACACACCCATATGTTTCTACACAATTAGCCAAACACCACCATAACTTCAATTTCTATAATTCTAAGGCATCTAGTTCCCAACAAGGTATCACACAACATCATAAATTCCACCAACTCACATAATTTCACTGCGTCGTCTTATTATTTAATTAAAAATAATTTTAATTAAATCGGGGTGTTACATAGGCTAGTAGTGCAGCTAACAGTTCAGTACGTCAGAAATTTTGCTTGGGGATAAGCCCCTGACAAAATGTATGCATTTTCCATTTGCTTGGATATATGTGTTTTTCATTTGCTTGGGGTTAAGCCCCTGACAAAATGTATAATTAATATAAAAAAATAAATATAATTAAAATTTAATTATAATATAATTAAAATGCAAACATAATTAATATAATCAATATAAAAATACTACACATACTGTTTTTAATATTTATATTTTAAAAATCCTAAAAATGCTAAACATAAAAATCTTAAACATCTTATTTTTAAAAATTCTATACTACTTTTACAAATTTCTAATACTAAACATACTATTTTTATAAAAATATATATTTCTTAGAGAATATATATATATATATATATATATATATATATATATATATATATATATATATATATATATATATATATATATATATATATATATATATATATATATATATATATATATAGTTTTTAAAGAAAATATATACTAAAAAAATAAATTTTTTATATTTTATATATTTACTAAGTAAATATATATACAACATAAAATAGAAAATAAATTAAAAAAATAAAAATAAAAATAAAAATTAGATTATAAATTAAATCAGAAAATAGAATAGATACATAACTCAACTATTTAGTAAAATACTTGAGATTAAATGTGTTTGAGTTGAGAAAATGAGTTGATTTAATTGATTGTTGTTGAGAAAAAGAAGAGAAAAAAATGAAAGTATTGAGAGAGAAAAGTGATGAGATTAGAGTAATGAAAGTATAAAGAGAGAAAAGTGATGAAATGGAGAAATATTGAGAGAGAGAGAAAAAAGAGTTAAAGAAGTTGTAAAAATTAAAGTGAGAAGAGGAAAGATGCTGTGAATATAAATTGTGGTAATTTGTGAAGGGTTAGTCCATGACAATTTGTGAGGCGGTTATTTCCTGGCAAATTGTCAAATAATAAATGCACGCGCTGTCATATTAAAGAGATTCTCTTTTTAGCTAGGGGAAGCCTCTGACAAATTGTCATGTAGTTTTGCGAGGTGGTTAGCCCTTGACAAATTGTCAAGTATTATGGCGCGCTTTTTTTTAGCCTTTCGCAGTGCACAATATCGAATTTTGAAATTCCCCCAATGCATTTGCGAGAGGAGTCCCCATGCCAAAGTGCTATTAATTTTTTTTTTGTGTGCGTTGGGAGGAGTTCATCACCTGACAACATAATAAATTCAGCAAGGAGTTTATACCCCGACAAACACATAGTTCTTTGATTGCACCATACATATTGTCTTTTCAATATTTTCATTTAAAAACACAGTCTTTAAATCCGTCCGGTGCAATTCTAAATAAAAAATAAATAAATAAAATTAAAATGAACTAAAATATAGTTGTTGATCAATACTTTTTCTCTTGATTGCCGGCCAACAGAAAAAATATATAATACTTTTATTAAAAAAAGATAATACGCCTATAATTTATACTTCAAAATTCAAATAATTGTTACTCGAAGTGAAATTTTTTGTTATAAGATCTACTATTTATTATTGTAATAAACATTTCTCTCATCTATGATAGTCACTTCAGGACATTTGCCGGTGTACGAACTTTAAATGCTTTAAACGTGGCCATTACTATATTTTTAAAATATTAAACTTTTGAATAATATAAAAGTTATTTTATTAAAATATACAAAAAAAAAAAATTAATAAAAATTCACTGTTAAACCAGATTCATTTGAATAATTAAAAAAAAAAATAGAAGAAAGTATCAAAATGGTTATTATTTACACTCCCAATGTGAAACTCGTGTTTGGAAGAGAGTAAGCTCAATGTTTTTCCTAAGTATCAGATTCATTTCTTTTCTTAAATAAGACAATTACAGTTAAACTTGTAACTACTTTCATTCTGCATTTGAATCTTGAGAAATGGAAATAGCTTCTCCACATCACGAACGTAAGTCTAAACTTTGCTTATATATTAACACTCAATATCTTTTCAACATTTTGTTATTAATTAACGCAAATTGCAAAATGAAAATATGTAGCTATGGAGTTCAGTGAGCTAGTAATGGAAGACAAATGGGATGATGTAATTACAAAATACAAAGAAGATAGTAACTGTCACAAGATAAAAATCAAGGGAAGAGGAACAGCATTACATGTGGCAGTAAGCAATGAACGCAAAGACGTAGTGAAAAGTCTTGTAGAAGCAATAGAAAATGTTGATGATAAAAGTAGTTTGAGAATGGTGAATGATATAGGTGCTACTCCTCTTCACCTTGCAGCATATAGAGGATTCACAGATGTGTGTGAATATATAATTGGAAAAAAAGGTGAAAGGAAATATTTGATTCTAGAGAAAAATGATAATGGAGAAACACCACTTTTTTGGGCTGTGCGGGCCGGTAAAAGATTAGTGTTTGTTTATCTACAACAGTTTTATCCATATGATATCAATATTGCAATCGATAGGAATAATACTAGCATCCTTCATGTTGCTATTCAGAGAGAAATGTTTGGTTAGTTTTTTTTGTTTTTTTTATCTCTTAATTATACCATTCATTTAATAATTGTCAATAATTATAATGATAATCTATGTATTTTGTGAAACAGATTTGGCAATTATAATAATGTATTGCTACCAAGGTCTTATCTATATGAAGGATAAAGATGACATTATTCCTCTTGAAATTCTTGCTACTAGGACATCAGCCTTCAAGAGTGGAAGTAGGCTATCATGGTGGAAGCAAATTTTATACTACTGTAAGTGACACATACTTATGGATATTATAAAAAACGATTTCAATTTTTTTTTTAAAATACTTCAATTGTTGAAAACCAGTCCTAGTATAATAAATCCGCAATCACTCCTCATGCGCAAGCGCGTGAGCCCACTTGACTTGCGAATGAGGTTGCGGCCAACCTTCATAATACATTTTTCTTGCATTATTTTCACTTCTCTGTAAAATTTCATGAAATAAAACATTTAATGCTGTTTGCAAAATTTTGGTGTGAAAGGTTTTACTATAAGCCGCCACGATGCAAAAACTACTGTGGACTTGTACCAAAAGAAGGTTGTATCTAAGGGAAATGCAAAGAATGGTATGCTTCTGTACTAGCTCTTATGTTATTCACTTTTCATTTTCTGTTATATCAACTTTTAGTTAATGGAAATAACAAAGTTAGCTCTTCCTTTATTTAATGGCACTCACTATTATTTACTAAAGACATGTCAATATTGCAGAGAAAGATGATTATATTAAAGAAGAATTACCATTATACCATGTTGATGAATTAGAAAAGGCATACAAAATACGACATTCTCTTGCTCAATACTGTCACCGAATTCAAAAGTTTGTATTCAAATGGCCAATCCTGTCACTATTGGGTAAGTTTATTGATCTCTTTTCTAACTTTAATTTTACACGCTTTGATTTGCATCTAGAGTTTCTTTTTATCAGGCCCAGTTTTAAAAATTGGAACTGAGTCTCTAAATTTTTTGAGCCGGCCCTGCATGGATAAATGATGTATCATGCATACATAAGTTTGTTTCCACAACTCGATCAATAAGTGCTGTTTTGCTTCATCAATTTTTTAGATTTAGAAGCAATAAAGACTATTAAGAAGAATCACATATATGGTCGTCAACTCTTGGAAGAATTTATGCAAAAACCTACTTGGTCATACATGGGTGGTGGGGTTAATCCAGAAGGTGACAACAGAGAATATGATGACGAAATGGAAGAAGATTTTACGAATTTTCCAGAATTTATCAAAAACGCGGGGGTAGGAGGTAAATAACAATAAATACAAGAAATTAAAGAAGATAACGATATAATTGAAAGGTAAAGAATGAAATAATAATAATTTGTATATTTGCAGGTGATACCACATCAATGCAAGAGACAAAAGAAAATAAAAAAATGGAAGATTCAGCCAATACTGATGGAAAAGATACAACATTTTTGGCAGTAGCAAAAAGTGGCATAGCAGAAATTATGGAAGAGCTTGATTCTAAAGTACCAAATACATCTGATAAGAAAGGTTTATTACTTGTAGCAATGAAGAATATTAAAACAGAAGTGAAAAGTGATGTAAAGGACACAGCGTATTTAATTGCAGCAAGTCATGGAATAGTTGAGATGATGTCAGAGCTTCAATCAAAGATAAAAAGTGTGATCGATGAGATTAACTCTAACAATGAAAATGCATTGCTTTTGGCAGTAAAGAATAGGCAACCACATGTTATTCGATGGTTGCAGAAGGAATTATCTGAAGGGGTCTTTCATTACCTATATCTACAAAATGATAAAAATGAGAACACCATCTTACACTTGGCAGCATATACATCATTCCAGAGAGAAAATACTTGGAGGATATCTGGTTCTGCCATGCAAATGATGTGGGATATCAAGTGGTATAAGGTACATTTATAGTTTAATAAGGGTCGTCTTTGATGGTGCGCTACAATATGTGCTAAATATGGTTCATAATACATTTGTCTTCGTTAAATCACGGCTAAATATGGTTCATGATAGATTTTTCATTGTTAAATCATGGCTAAATAGAACTCCTAATTGATATGTCACAGTTGGATAACCTACACAGAGCGTCGAAAAACTTAAAACAACTGAAGTTTAATTATAAATCAGAATCGTCTTTGAGGGTGTGTAAGGTTGGATAGAACAGAGAGCCCCAATTTTTTTATAGCTAAAATGCGGCTAAATAGGGTTTCATATAATTTTTCATAATTAAACTATGATTAAATAGGATCTCATTGTTTTGTAACGGTTCAACAGAAAGCCTACAAAAATTTAAAAGAATCCTGAGTTTAATTATTACTTATCACTACATATTTATATGTCACATTTTGTAGAATTAACATATATATTTTTTCTGGTATAGTACATAAAAGGACTAGTACCAGAGCATTTCAATCAAAGAAGCAACAAAGAAGGCAAAACACCAAGTGAAATATTTAAGGAGCAACACAAAGAACTGTTACAAAACAGCGTTGAGTGGTTGAAAGACACAGCAGAGTCGTGCTCAGTTGTAGCAGCTCTCATTGCCGGTGTCTCCTTTGCGACATCAGGCAGTGTCCCTGGTGGAAATAAGCAATCAGGAGAACCAAATTTAGAAGGACATCCTGCATTTGAAGGATTTGCTATATCTTCATTAATTGGACTTTACTTCTCCGTCACTGCACTCATCATGTTCCTTTCTATACTCACTTCTCGAAAAGAAATCGAAGACTTTCGTCGAAACTTGCCAATGAAGCTTCTTTTCGGCTTGTGTTCTCTCTTCGTATCCATTGTTGCTATGTTTGTTTCTTTCTGTGCTGGACATTTCTTTGTGCTCACAGATAAATATACAAAGGGAGGTATCTTGTTCTATTTATATATTTCCATTTGCTTGCCGGTCGCATTCTATGCAGCTGTGCAATTTCCGTTATTTGTTGATCTTATTAAGGTTATTTGGAAGAAGGTTCCACCACCAAGTGTTAAGGGCGTTCTTCTATAGAAGTGTTTGTTTTGTTGTATCGCTATCTGAATTGAAACTAATTAGTTTGATTTATAATATAGTTTTTTCTAATGTTTTGAGTACTAGTGTGAATGTAAATGTATTGTGATTTGATTCTTTTGTAAACCTATAAGCTGTGATACGGATGAATGCGAATGTAGTGTTTTTTTTAATAAGCAATTTGTAATTTGTATTTAGCAAAGATTCAAACTTGTGAGGAACAGACTCTCAAGATCCAAGTGTTTCACCGCTAGGTCATACACCCGCACACAAGTGCGAATATAGTGTGATTTGAATATTTTGATTAGTTAAAAAATTTAAATTATATGTTGTATAATAGGGGTGTTTAAAATCAAACTGACTTAATAGAAAACCGTAAAACTGATCTGAATTAAATTGAAACCGCAAAAAACCACATTTGATTCAGATGTGTTTGAGTAGTTTTTTAACGGAACCGTACAGTTCGGTTTGGTTTGCGGTTTGTGTTTTACAAACTAAACCAAACCAAACCAAACCGCATTATGTTATTAATTCTAACTTACCAATATATATTTCTTTAGTTCTTTAGAAAAATCAACATGTATTATGTGTATATTTTATCGTATTTTTTGCATGATATTTATTTTAATTTACAAATGATAAAAAATGTAATATTATTCATTTATAAATATTATTTTATCATATTCTTTGTATAATATTTATTTAAGAATGCAATCTTATGTATATTATTTTTTAAATTTAGATGAAATTATAACACGCAATTTTATATATCAAATTATAAATTTATTTTGACAATTATAAATTTTCTTATAGCAATGTATGAACGATTAAACATAAAATTATATTTTTCTCTATATGTGTATGTGTGGCTCAATAATTATTTTGTAAAAAACCGAATCAATCCAAACCGCGTTAATTTTATTTAATTTGATTTTATTTTTAAAAGTCAACCGAACTACATGTTTTTTTCTCTTGCAGTTAGAGTAATTTTTTACATCAAAACCACTCAAACCGCATCGCGAACACCCCTATTGTATAAAGTAATCATAGAATAACTTTGATAGTTTCTTCTAAAGCAAATTGAAACATCAATTTATTACATTAAAGTAGACGGTATAAAAATAAAATATTTGAAAAATCATTAAAAACTATTATTAAAATAAAAGTATAATTATTGTCATATAAATATTATTATGCATTTTCATGTAATTTATTGATTACTATATCTATTAAATGTTACAATTACTATTTATTAGAAAAAACTCAGCATTCATTCTATAATTTAGTAACAAACATTTGTCTCATAATATGGAATCTTTATGGGATCTTTTAGATTTGACCAAACAGAACCAACTTGCTCAAAAGGGTGGGGAAACTAGTGGAGTGGCTAAACAACCATTCGAGGTTTAGGATCCTATAGATCATCATGTTGAAACACACCCTTACATCTCTCAGGGTGAGGAGGTTAGCAATCAAGAACATGAGAAAAAAACTTAATTTTTGAGAAACAACTGAGTGTTTATGTTCAAAGCAAAAGTGGAAATTCTAGTGGTCACACAAGTTGAAAAGAATCATAATTTGTTGATGCAACCCAAGTCAATGATGACACTAAGGGAGCTGTTATAGAAACTCAGAAATAACTCTAGATTTTTTCACATTTCTTGGACAAATCTTGTTGATCTAGATTATGTAGATGAATGTGATAAAAATCTATGTAGATCATGCATATGTTGAACCCGACCTTTCCAAATTCCAACTAGCCTTAACAAAATCTCAAAAGAAAAAGCTAAGACAAAAGTCCAAATCCAAAACCACTTACCTAACCAGATCCCAATCTGTTACTCAAAAACATACATCATGAGGTGTATCTTTTGGAATGCATGTGGTTTGACCGACGCTCTCATAAAATTGATCCTTAAAAACATGCGTAGAACCCACAAACCTTACTCCTGTTTTCTAGTAGAGCCCTAGATGAAAATTTGGAATTCTTTCCCTTTTATTTGTTAGAAATACAAATAATGTAATATCACTATAATGATATTCTCACACACTTTTAATTGCTACAAACCCTCATATAAACATATTCCTAATTTTTCTCTTAAATTCTCAAATTGATTAGCATCCAAAGCTTTTGTGAAGATGTCAGTCAATTGCAACTCAGTGGCTACATGTTCTAAAGCAACAATTTTTTCTTCAACAAGTTCTCTTATGAAGTGATGACGAATGTCAATATGCTTGGTCCTGCTGTGTTGAATGAGATTTTTTGAAATGTTTATGGCGCTTAAATTGTCACAGAATAATGTCATGACATCTTGTTTGACATTGTATTCTGATAACATTTATTTCATCCAAACCAATTGAGAACAACTGCTTTCTGCAACAATGTACTCGGCCTTAGCAGTGGACAGAGACACACAATTTTGCTTCTTGTTGAACCAATATATGAGATTATTTCCCAGAAAGAAGCATCCTCCTAACGTACTATTTCTATCATCAGCAGTTCATGCCCAATCAGCATCACAAAAACAAGTTAAGGCAAAATTTGATCCATGAGAGTACATCTTACCATAGTCACTTGCCTCATTCACATATTTAAGAATCCTCTTCACATGGTTGGCATGACTAATTTTAGGATCAGCTTGATATCTTGCACACACCCCTACAGCAAAGGCAATGTTTGGTCTGTTAGATGTGAGATATAGAAGACTGTCTATCATGCTTCTGTAGAGACTTTGATCTACACTTACTCCTTTTTCATCTTTAGTCAGCTTCAAATGTGTGGGCGAAGGAGTTCTTTTGTGACTGACATTCTCCATCCCAAACTTCTTCACTATATTCTTGGAATGCTTGCTCTGAGATGAAAATATGGAGTCTTCCATTTTTTTAACTTGCAGACCAAGAAAATAGGTTAATTCACCAACAAGACTCATTTCAAATTCAGACTGCATTTGCTTGATAAAATATTCTACCATCTCATTTGACATCCCACTAAATACAATATCATCAACATTGATTTGAGCAATCATAATCTTCCCTTCTTCTTATTTGACAAAAAGAGTTTGGTCTATGCCACCTTTCCTATATCCATTCTCCCCAAGGAATTTTGTCAGTCTCTCATACCAAGCTCTTGGAGCTTACTTCAATCCATACATAGCTTTCTTCAGTTTATAAACATATTTAGGAAAACTTGGATCAACAAATCCTTTTGGTTGTTCAACAAAAACTTCTTCATTTAGGTACCCATTCAAGAAGGCACTCTTTACATCCATTTGAAACAATTTAAATTTTAAAATGCATGCAACTCCCAATAGTAGTCTAATTGATTCAATTCTAGCCACATGAGCAAAGGTTTCACCAAAGTCCAATCCTTCAATTTGAGTGTATCTTTGTGCAACTAACCTTACCTTATTTCTAGTGACCACCCCCTTTTCATCAGATTTATTCTTGTATACCCATTTAGTACCAATCACATTTGTCCCTTCAGGTCTTGGAACCAGATTCTAAACTTCATTCCCACTGAATTGTTCCAGCTCCTCGTGCATAACATTAATCCAGAACTCATCAGTTATAACCTCTTTGATATTCTTAGGCTCAATTTTTGATACAAAGAAAGAGTTTTAAATCCTTTCTCTTGATCTGGAAGTGACTCCCTTGTTTAGATCTCCTATGATAAGCTCCTTAGGATGATCTTTCTGAGTTCTAATTAAAGGTCCTTTATTGAGGTGACTAGGCTGGGGATCTTCTTGAGGAAGATTATAATCAATACTTGTGTCATTTGATTCAGTTGGAATATCAGGCAAAGATGTTCCAACATCTTCTGAGACATCTTCTTCAACATTCCATCCTTTATCATCAATAGTAACATTTATTGACTCCATCATAACTTTGGTTCTAGCGTTAAAAACTTTGTATCCTCTGCTGTTTGTATAGTAACCCAGGAATATTCCTTCATCACTCTTGGGGTCCATCTTCCTCCTTTGTTCACTATCAGCTAAGATGTAACATTTACTTCCAAAGACATGAAAGTATTTAACAGTTGGTTTTCTCCCCCTCCATATTTCATATAAAGTAGCTGAAGTGTCTTTCCTTAGAGTGACTCTGTTATGAATATAGCATGCAGTATTCATAGCTTCAACCTAAAAATGATAGGGTAGCTTCTTAGCATGAATCATGTCTTTGGCATATTCTTGGAGAGTTCTATTCTTGCATTCTACAATCTCATTCTATTGAGGAGTAATGGGAGAAGAGAATTCATGGCTGATTCCTTCAGAGGAGCAAAACTCAACAAATTTTTTATTCTCAAATTTCTTTCCATGATCACTTCTTATTCTTATGACATGGCTTTCCTTTTCCCTTTGAAGTTTTTGACAAAGATCTTTGAACACTTCAAAAGTTTATGATTTTTCTCTAATAAAGTTTATGCATGTGTATCTAGAAAAGTCATCTACAATAACATAGGCATACTTATTACCACCAAGACTTTCAACATGCATAGGTCTCATCAAGTCCATGTGGAGAAGTTCTAAATTTTTTGATGTAGTAAGATGTTGAATCTTCTGATGTGACATCTTAGTCTGCTTTCCAATTTGACAATTACCACATACCCTTCCTTCTTCTTGTGAGGGAAAAGTCCCTCTATAAGTATTTTAATGATGTCAAAACCATTATTAATCTCTCTCTACTTGGGTTGGTCCTATGAACAATATTTCAATGGAATGATTGGAATGAAGATCTCGAGAAACCTTTTTTTATAGAAAATTCAATCTGTGCGTCGACTCAAAGATATGTTCCGTCGACTCATCATCTTCAATGAAGCCCTGGATGTGTCAGGTCGACCCTTCCTGTCGACTCAAACTGGATATCAAAACACTCAAAGTTTGCATCGACGCAAGCCCTGAAGCGGTCGACGCACTTCACTTTAAAATGGAATTCTCTCTAACTACTGGATGTATCGCATCGACCCTTCCGGTCGACTCAACCTGGCAATCAGAATATTCAAA